GAATTAGCATTAGATAATTAGTATCCGTTAATATATTTTAAAAATAGAGACTGTATATGATAAATATTATAATTTCTATCATATATATTTACAATCATGAATAATTATTCTGTATGGAATAACAATGCAAGTGGCTCATCACCTTCACTTTTTTTAACACCTACCTAATACCCCCTAAGGCCTTAGTATTTATCTTTTGAAAAGAGTTTCCTGTAAAAATAAACAATCTAATATATAAAGTTAATACTCTTCTATGGGAGTGTTGTTGGAAACTTGCCACATCCTTCGAAAAAGTTAAAGCAATATTTTTAATCTAAGAAAAGGAATTAAAGAAATAAGCCGTACTAATTTTGAAAAAGAATTCGCAAAAAACTAATATATAACAGCACTTTTCTGATAAATGTTTCAGATAGCTGAAAACTTTAGAAAGGCATATTTTTAAGTGTCCTTATAAATCTGTTGCAATGATAAACCGTGACAAATTGTGAAACAGCTAAAGTCTTTGCACAACAGAATACCTATGCTCCTATCTAGCTGACATTTCAAATTGTTACATATGTTGGAACAGAGAACACTGGCTACATAGCCTTCTCAAAAAGTGAAATGAAGAGATAAAAAATATTTTACATCATAATTACTTATTTGAACTGTTACTTTTCAAATTTATGCTTATCTCACTAACTCTATACTTTTTCTATATGCAGTTTAAGTCTTATGAGACATATTCAGATTCCTTTGGTAAAGGTGATTTGCGGTGTTTCTCCTAAGATAACGAAGATAATGAAGGTTTTTATTGGCACAAAAGAAATGAAGCTTCTTTGATTAGAATGAGTAAGATCAAAAGAGACATTAGTCAGTGTTAAGGAACTGGATAATTTAAATTTTAGTTCCTTGGTTCAACTATTAACTGGCTAAATGTATTTTCTGTTAATATTAAAAGGCTGTTCCATATAGAGAAAGTAAAATCCTTCACAAAATAGAAAATACCTTTTTTCTTAAAGACTATATTGCAAAATTGAATGTCACCCTTAAAATATTAAACTACAATTAATATTTTACAATTTTTTGTTGAAATTCTAAGATGCTTAATCTATTATGAAATTATTAAACATACATACTTTTGAATTTTATAAATATATGACAATAAATGAAAAATGTGAATGGTATTATTCCCCAAGGAATTTATCACGTTCGGTTTTGAAAAATGCCCAGTTTTAGACACTCACTATATTGTTTTAGAGACTTCAATTTCTGCATTAGGATTATATAAAAAATCAAGTTACATTTTTATAATTAAACACCCAAACTTGTAGGGCCACTTATCATGTATATTTAGTGCATCTAAATAATATATTGTGTAGGATACTTCAACTCTAAAATAAAAGTGCAGACTTTAAATATATTTTAAAAACACATCTAAGTTATCCTTCCCTAGGTAAATAGATAAAATGGTACATCCAGACAATGTAATATTATTCAATGCTAAAAAGAAATGAGCCATTGCATCATGAAAAAAAAAAAAAAAACAAAACATGAAAGAACCTTAAATGCACATTAGTAAGTGAAAGAGACCAATCTGAATAAGCTACATACCATATGATTCCAACTATATGACATTCTGGAAAAGGAAAAGCTATCGAGACAGTTAAAAATATCAGTGGTTCCCAAGGGTTAGGAGAGAAAGAGGGATGAAAAGGCAGAATACAGAGGAATTTTAGGGCAGGAAAATATTTTGTATAATACTGTAATGGTGGGTACATTTTATTATGCATTCATCAAAACCCATATAATAACAACACAAAGAGTAAATCTTAATGCAAACTATGTATGGACTCTGGGTAAAAATGATGTCAGTGGTGTCAATCCAAGCTCATCGATTGTAACAAATGTACCATTCTCCATGTTCATAATGGGGGGGAGGCTATACATGTATTGGAGCAGGCAGTATATGAGAATTCTGTAGATTTCTCTCAATTTTGGTGTGAACCCGAAACTTCTCTAAAAAGTAAAGTGTATCTAAAAAAATGGAGGAAAAAAATACAGTGTCCTACTTTTAAAATCTTCCAAGGAATGGCTAACAGGCCTGGATTTACTGAGAATGTCTACAAACACAATACTCGATCTTTTATGTCATTGAATACTTAAAAAAAATGACATGTTAGGGGGGCCCTGGGTGGCTCAGTCGGTTAAGTGTCCAACTTGAGCTCGGGTCATGATCTCATGGTTGGTGGATTCGAGCCCCATGTTGACCTCTGTTCTGACAGCTCAAACCTGGAGCCTCCTTCGGATTCTGTCTCAGTCTCTCTGTCCCTCCCCTGCTTATGTCTCTGTCTCTGTCTCTTAAAAGTAAATAAGCATTAAAAAAAAAAAAATGACACCTTAGGTGATTACTAACACATGTGAAAGTCTTAAAACATTTTCAACTTCCTATTTTTGTATGATGGGACCCACCAATGAACCAGACCAGATCTTGCTGTAAAGAAATATTTCTATTTCCTTAAATAAACTTTCCTCTGATGGGACAGTAAGTCTCAGGCTTAGTATATAAAAACCCCAAAATATTTTCGTCTGTTTTCCACCAATAAGCACTGGGAAGCAGAATATTTTTCTTTTCATTTTTCAAGAACATCAGAGAGTTTTGCATTTAACCTTCCAGGTAATATATCTATCTGGCTTAGCCTTGGTGACATTATGTAGAAATGACAGCAAATTGAAAGTTATTGTTCACAGATTCCTCAAAACAGAAATGGTAGTTTGAGGAGCTAATTTTTACTCTTGTTAACCATATTTAAGCAGGAAAAAAGTCTATATTTATTATACTATGAATTTTAAAATATTTTAATATTTCTTTTTGTAATAATAAATGAGAAATCAGTAGAATAGCAAGCATGGAACCACTATAAAAATTCTTTTTTGAAGCCATTTATTTTGATTTCTTAAAATGGAAAGGGCAGATGCTGATATGGAAATATCTATTTTAGTTTTTATTAGACAGTAGGTAAAAATATTTCATATTAATAGAAAATGACCTATTTCTACAAACAATGTAAAAAAGCCATTTTATAAAGTACTTTCAGAAAATATTTAAAAATCATAAAGTGATTAAATTTAACTTGATATCCTTTTACGGTTGTAAACTGAGAGTTTATTACAGTGATCATGGGAGAACAGCCATGTGTAGGAGTTGGAGAAAGAAAGATAAGCTGACTTGTTGAAGTACCATGATTACTGGAGGGAACTGTGGTTAGTTAACACATGGCCTTTTTTCCTATGAGGCAATCAAGAAGAAATCAAAGGAACTAGGTCAAAGACACAAGACCATATAAATATAGACTAGGGATTTAGTTACGCCATCTCAGATTCAGTGTAGTTTGATAAAACAAAGAGGAAAACTGAGAGTCAATGACTAGTCATTTGGCTTCTCTGATCCTCAGTTTGTTGACATAATAAGATAATGGTATTGATTAGAATGTGAGAATAGCAAACAATAAAATAATATAAAGCTAATAGATCAATGTAATGTTACTGTGACGGTCACTGTAAAAATGTCCAGAAATTCCCAGATACTTCCCATTTGATACTATCTTATTGTCAAGGGGTTTCAAGAAAAATAAAAATAAGAACAAAGAAAAATTACTTAACTTTCATTCTCTCCCACTGTACAAAACTTCTGTAACTACTTAATTGAAAGAAGTTCAGAAATTATAACAAAACACAGATACTATATAAAAATTTTCATTTTGAAATGTATACTCATATGTTTTAATGGGTGGTATATACATATTAAGATATACATTTGAGAGTGGGCTATTCCGAAATAAGAAAGATTAAGTGTGCTTTAAAATAATGCATATCTTGAAAATGAACATTTTCTCTTTTGTAATTTCTATACTACTTCATTTTTATCTGGCAATGAAGTACTTGACGATGTTTATATAAGAGAAATAAATATTTAGGTCTAAGCCACCAATTTTTTTCACTTTATAAAAACAATTTAACTTCTATATAAAGAATTATCATTTATGGGGCACCTGGGTGGCTCAGTTGGTTAAGCTTCCGACTATGGATTTCAGCTTAGGTCAGGATCTTATGACTAGTGAGATCAAGCCCCGTATCAGGCTCTGTGCTGACAGCGTGGAGAGTGCTTGGGATTTTTTCTCCCTCTATCTGCCCCTCCTTTGCTTGTACACATATGCACACTCTTTCTCTCTCTCAAAATAAATAAATAAATAAACACTAAAAAAATTATCATTTGAACCCAGATTCAGTACTAAAACAAAAAACAAACGTAATGATTTATTAAGAGCACAGGACCTGGATTCTAAATGTGACTCTACATAAATTATTCAACTTCTTTAGGCCTCACTCTTCTCATCTAAAACATGAGAGAAATGATACTTACTTCCGAGAGGTTTTTATGAGGAGTGATTGAAATATTGCACGTATGGCATTCCACACAGCGTGTGACACAGTACATGTTAAAAAATAAAACCAAAGCCATTTTTGTTTCATACCTTGGGTGTGGATGAGCAGCGGATCCTAGTAATTTTCTACAACTTTACTCTTATGATGTTTAAACCGAATTACAGTTAATACATTAACCAAGGAGATTTAAAAAAATCTCTTTAAGTATTTATATCTGCCTTTATAAACGTTTGCTAGCAATGGAAACTACTTAACAATTCTTGCATTATTAAAGTTATTAACTATATTCCTGTATTCTATTAAGATAATGTCTGATTACTTTGGCCTCCTACTAGTCATCGACGTTTCTAAGAAGACTCTGGAACTAGTTTACTATGAAAGAAACAGTATTTAGTAGTGTTTCTAAATTATTTTTGCAATATGAGTCTACTGATGATATATTATTTATCCCCAAATAGAAGTCACTCAATGATTATACATTTATTACACTGAGACCTTGGATTTGATCAAGTTAGAAATGAAAACACACAAGGACATAAAAGATTTGTACCAGTAATAAAGAAAACACATATAACGAAGTTTTTCCTCAGTTTTCTTTATTACAACAATGGAGACACAGAGGTACAGAAAATAAAATGACATTTAATATACTATGAAACACATGCATAGGATTACACATAGTGCTGGATATTATGTCGGGGTTTTAAATAAGAGATGATATTGAAGACAATACATTTATAACGCACATTTTTTTCAAGAAAATAAGCTATGATGAAAACAAATGCAATTAAAATGGTCAGAAACAGTCACTTTAAAACACAAGTGTTATACATAAAATCAGTGTAAGATGTGAGATATAAATATTCTGAAAGAAGTTCATGAATCATGGATGTTACTTAAAATAGCAATTTTAATTGCTTGCATTAAAAAAAAAGATTAGCTAAGAGATTTATTTCATAGTCTCCATTTAGTTCACATACAGAATAAAAATAAATATGGTATAATTAAGAAAAAGATTCCATCTCTTAATATATGCAGTGTTCGCAATGTGTAACTGTTATCCTTTTTATTAAAGTGGAATGATAAAGAATAACTTAATTTAACTTGAACATACACACATTAAGAAATTTTACAATATACCTAAACTTAATACATTCAATTAGTTAATACTTAAAATGAAAATTAATTCTACTTGAATGAACCTATCTTTAAAAATTAGGTAAAATAAAAGTCCAGCAACGAAGCCAGTGGGACATCAGTTTGCAGTTCAGATCAGCATAGATATAGTACTCTTACACATATGTGCTTTCCTTAGTTATTTCACTTTTTTTCAATTTAGGCTGTGAAATTAGTTAATAGCCATAAAGGAAGAGTGGATTACTACCAAAAATCTTTAAGCAGCTCATAATCTTAGATAAGATAATAAGACCAAAGGTGTTTGGAAAACAAAGGATTGGTATTAAACTCCTATCTCTGTCTTATTTCAGAACAATTAAATTAGATTTAAGATTACTGAATTTTTTTACCTTAGATAAGAATTGAGATGTTGCTTAATATAGTGTTATAACCTTTATGTATTTCATCAAGTTTTTAAGTACAATAAACGAGAAGGAAATAATACTACAGCTTTATATTTAAAAGTTAAAAAAATGTTAACTCTAAATTTTAATTCTACCAATTTAAATAGTAAACCAGAAGAGATCAGGTTAATTAGATGTTAGAAAGATATTTGGTTTGTTTGTTTAGTTAGTTCTTGAAATTTACTTGCTAATATCTTCTGAATTATAATATAATTAGAATTACAGTATTAATAGTGATTAAATAATACTCTATTTTTTTTATGACATAACAGCTGATTTGGAAATGGAATTTTTACCAACTTCAAGTTATATTGAAATGATTTCAAGGGCTGTTTGTAGAATATGTGCATCTCCAATCATGTGAAATATGCAAATTTGAGCTATCCATTCAATGCATTAGCCTTTCAGAAGGTTTTCTGATATATATCCCTACCATGAATGCTAAGATTTTAAAATTTACCAGCTGATCAACAGAAAAGGAGTAGAAAAAATACACCCTATTCATTCATGGTCAGAAATTGAGAGGGAGGAAACAAAACCTAGAGGGGGTGGGAAAAAGAGAGAAAGACAGAGCAATAGAGACAAAGAGGAGGGAAGAAAAAGGGAATATAGGAGAGAGAAAGAGAATATTAGAATGAATTGGAAAAAAAGAAGAAAGGAAGAAGGAAGGAAGCAAGGAAACAAGCCAAAATTAGAGAAAACCTACTTCATTTGTACTTATTCAAAGGTTGTTTTGAGCCATAATAAAATACATAAAATGATACAATTCGATATGACCTTCATGATCTTGTATCTTTATTCATTAAGTAAAATTACCATATAAGGGCTAAAGAAGATTATAAATAATATTTATTTACATAGTATTGTAACACACTATTTAAAGCTCTTAATGCTACTAATATCTAAACCAAAACCAAACAGGTGGAAATTTTCTGATAATTTTACATGACTAGAAAGATTTCTCAACTACTTCAAACTGAAAGTATTATTATATGTAACATTACCTAACTATTCTTGAAAATTAAACCCAGACATACTTAATGATTGTATTGGTGATATAAATATCTTAAATCACCAAGATAATTTGTAATTTCAAAATTTACTTTTCCATTCCATATGGTATGTACATTCCATATGGTATGTATACCATATTAAGAAATAAAATACTTTTCAGATATCTAAAAGAGTTCATTCAGATCCCAAAAAGATTAATTATGTCTTACATACTGTATTTTCTTAAATATAAATGAATAATCATAAATCCATTTGACTCAAACTATACAACCTATGAAGTACTGCATGTACTTGTATTTTTAATTCTTAATTTAAAAAAATTCTGTGTATTTAATAGTAAAAATGATTTGCAATGAAATTATTTGTGCATGAATTCATTTTATATATACAACTAAAATTATACAAAACTGTTAATCCAATGTCCAGACATGTATTTATTGCATTAAAAAAAAACACTTAAGATACTTTAGGCTAAAAAAAAAGAGAAATTAAAAAAAAATAAAGCCATAAGACATATTAACCTTGTCCATGTCTATCACTAATGAATACATATATATTCATTTGTGTAATTATTTGGAAACAGTAGGTGTGTAGCATTTATAAAATACAGTTATTCCCAATGACTAATATGAGAAGAAAGAGGATGAAAAATGGCCATTGACCTAAATTGCCCATGTAAGAAGTTTCGTAAGAAAGAATATAATGCTATCTCCTAGGCATAGCCTGTTGGCATATCTGGCCCATGGTATTGGCAAGCCAGTGATCTGAGAAATAATTAGAGTTTTGTCTGAAGTAGAGGAAACAGTAAGATTAAATGATAAAAGGAGACAAGAAGATAGACAAGAGCTGAGAGGAGAAAAACAAGGAGATATGCATGTTTATATAAGAAGTTAATCCCCATGCTCCATATGCGGATACAATAATCATCCTTAAGTAAATCAACCTAAATTTATAACCGGTATAATATGATCAAAACAAAATTCTGGAATGATTTAATATTTGGAGATATGATATACACATCAACAGACATAGACACATACTTCTGATTATATATAATGATTAACATAAAACTTACCTTAACACACAGTTCACATTTTATATGTTTCAGGCAAAGGATTTTATTTTATTTAGACCTATAGATAGATACTAACTAGACTGCCAGATTATATGGTTGCATATAACAAAACTAAAACTCAGAGACTTAAAAAGATAATTTAGCAACATTTGCATATTTATTAAGATTTTTTTAATCTGAGAAGATAATTTGTAATCTCTAAGGTCTCATTTATTGAACTGTTTTAGCTGTACTGTTTAGAATGTTGTGCTTTCCTATTTCCCGTGGAAATAAGCTAAACACAGAGCTTGTATGTTAAGATGTCTGAAGATCTATTTTCAAGAATTTATGCATATCTCAGAACTGTAAAATAACTGCTCTTCTAATCATAACATTTGGTCAAATGAAATGTTACTTATTAATTTCAGGATTAAAAACTTGATCTGGGGCACCTGGGTAGCTCAGTTGGTTAAGCATCCTACTATTTCAGCTTAGGTCATGGTCTCACGGTTGTGAGATCAAGCCCCACACTGGGCTCTGTGCTGAGCCTGGAGCCTGCAGCCTGCCTGAGATTCTCTCTTTCCCTCTCTCTCTGCTCCTCCCCACCCCTAAAAAATAGTTCAGGAAAAAAAGTTGATCTGTACTGAGATGTTTACAAGGAATAATGAAGAATTTAATAAGTGTAAATAATTATGCTGAGACAATAAATTTTTAATTTTAAATTCTTTTCTCAACTGTCAAAATATCACTTTAGGTACCATGTAAACTTGACTTTGAGCATTCTTCATACCACTGTTGGTTACTTTGAGTCGTAGAATGTTAAATAAAAAAAATCAACTCTGTTATCTTATGAAAGACATATTCCAAATTCTCCACAAAATTATGTTGCTATCATATACTAGCCTAAATAATTTCTACCGGACTTTCTTGTGGAAACATTTATCTTCTTGAAAAGGTCCAGTCAGATTATGGTAAACAGGAAGTATTGTTCCTCGAAGAGTTATTGGAACTCTTTTCTTTCCTAGCGCTTTCTACATATTAGTAACCAACAAATCTACATATCTTCTCCAAAAATAGACATACTATGCACTTATAATTGGTTAATTAATAATTTTAAAATGTTGGCTATGGTCTTCTTAAAAACAGAACATTCCCCAAACTGCATAAGTCTGGCTATTCCTTTGTCTCAGTGGAAGAGAAAGGAAGGAAGCAAAAGCATGTTTAATCTGTGGCTGGGTGACTCCTGCATTCTAAAGGTCTGTTGCTAGGTGAGAAGAAAAAAGGACAGCAGTGGACAGCAGAGTTTAGAAAAGATAATGACAGACTACTAAAGAGAAATCTAGCTTTAGGTCTTACATTATAGGATCCTGTAGCTATTGTTTTAAGGAGTAAAAGAATACTTTCGTGAAACAAAAGAAATAGTTTTTGATGAGTGAATCTCAAAGCCCAAAATCCAATAATTTAATTTCGCACATTAGTATGGACACTCTTATCATATACATAAACCTGCTTGCTTTCTAATTGTCCTGAATGAGTAGTAAGAATCACTTGCTAGGCAGGGTGTGGTTAGAAGTGAAAAACACAAAACACTTTTCTCATTTTATAATGAATGAAAATTGAACACTAAAATCATTGCTTGTGATAATCCCTCAAATATAGCTTCCTCTGAAAAATGTAGTAACACCTCCTCATCTCAATTTCATCTTCTTGCAAGCAGTAGCTAAAATATTTGCTTCTCTCTCTGGTCTTTACAAAGAAACGGACTCTTTGTGTCCAGGAAGTTGTAATAAAGAAGTATGCATATATGTTGTGAGAAAATCAATACTCGATGCCAACTCATAGCACAATCCATATCCAGTGAACAGAGTGCAACTTTTTAAACACATTCATATTTAAATTACTAAATTGGATATTTTAAAGTTAGTGTTCAAATTTAAAAGAAGAAAACTATTTCATTTTTATTTCTTATGATATTTTAGGTCAAAAAAATGAAAATAGGCAGCACAGTACGGATACATATCTAATATAATAAAAGCTATTAGCTTTTGTTGTATATAAATGGTAAACACCATGTAATTTTATAAACGTCCGTAAAGTTGGAAATTTACATTTAAAAGAATAACAATTAAAACCAATATAAAAGATCCACAATTCTACATAATAAAATACAATGTATGGTCATGGATATTGAATTATTTTTGCAAAATAATCAAGTGAGAGAAGATTAGATGTAGCAAATGCTTAAGTTCCAAGTAAGAGTGACATGATATTTAACAAGGTCAACTTTAGAAACTAAAGGAAACTACAGAATGAAGCAAGTTATGCAATGAACTGCATCTGGGAAGAAACAATCCTGATTCTATTTCTTTCAGTGTTTTTCTGACAAATTATCTACTTTAAAGGTTGACAATTTGGGGAAGGGAAAATAGGCTCATTGTTCATGAGTGAAATACATGCATAATTAGTTGGACCACAGAAAAACTTTCATCATAATATGAGATTAGCCTTGTAAATTTGCAGGGCATAAAAGTAAATATCATATAACAACAACATTAAAACATCCAAGACAAACTGAGGGCTATAATGAAAGAAAACCCAGCAGCATTCAGCTGCCATGACTGGCTTCCATTTTCGCCTTTATTCGCTTCACAGCATTTATCTGCATGACGGAAATTGTTTTCGAAAATAGAATAAGAATAAAATAATTAAGGAAAAAAAGAGTAGAGTTACAACATGAAAGTAAAGAAAAAGAAAAAAAGTGACAGTGGGAAAGAAAAAAAAAGAGAAAATAATTAATGCAAGATTTACACAAAGCCATTACAAATTCCTACAAAAAAATTATTTTGATACAAGAAAAAGAATGGCTAAAATCTGTATACAACTTTTCTAAATAGTTGTCACATATTTAAAACATAACTGAGCCTCAATATTAATAAAGTTTATTTCACATAAATCAGACAGTTGTTCTGTCATTGATTCTTTAGAAATAAGTATCTTATTTATTCTCTATTGAAGATACAACTTATGAGTGAGAAGGCACCTGTCATTTCACTGTGCTACTGGTAAATTCACATTGCTACTGTAAATATGAACTCATCATATTCTATAATGTTTACTGATATTACTTTTTGCTACCATCATATCTGAGAAGAAATATTTAATAAAAGTAGTTACATTTTTAACAATGAATAAACTACCAAGATATATCCATGAAAATGACATATTCATAACGGAAATTTGCCATAAGGGTAGAAGCAAGGAGCATTGACCCAACTGACCATAAGCATGGTCTAGACATATGTCATTGTACCAATTTAAAAATAATTTTGAGAACAAAGGATCATGAAAATATACTTTTTCATTATGTGCTAAATTCAAAGGAATATTGTTTTGGGTATAGTATTAATATTTAGCATTGACTGAGATTTCCAAATAGTTAAAATAAAGGTCTCTCCAATTTTAACTGAACTTTAATTTCACCATTGTTTTAGAATTTATCTAATGTATGTTCTGAACAGATCATAAATTTAACTTTAAGAAAACATGTTTGCATTTGCCATGCACTTGAATGTGTTGTTTTTGTGTTCATGTTGAGTTATTCAGAACTGCAAGGGTATACTAGTGTGGCTTGGAACTAGACTGAGTGCCATCAAAATAATTTTACTGTACAGTTCATTAGAAGTATAATGAAAAACACCATGTAAATACACACACACACACACACACACACACACACACACACACACCTGAACATTTTTAACAATTTATTTAGTGGTGGCGATTTATATAATTTCTTTGTCAGCTTCTTATATTTGAGGAACTCTCATAGATGCGTTACATGCTTGAATTCAGATGATAGAATTGTTTTACCATCAGATCTAAACAAAGCATGAATGGAATTGTTTGTCATCAAATTATATTGATAATGTTAAAATTAGACATGTGTTCAATTCATAGCAACAAAATCAGAAAAAGGAAGCAATTACTAAAAGAAAAATGGTCTTTTTTTGGTTAAAAAAATGGTATTAAAATGTCATAAACCAAAAGAAATGGTGGGAAATGCTTTTCAAAATAAATTCATCTCCAAGAGTTTTTAAAAGAGTAGTATATTTAGTAATAAAAATTACATAATGAATCAATAAATGTCATTTTATCAGGTTCTCATTTATAGATTTATAATCATTTTATAAGAATTTGTCATAACTATTCAATATTCTCATTGTTTATAAATAAATGAGATGGAATTATGCTGTATGAATATTCCAAAAGGGAATACAATTGTGATTTTGCACTCTATTTCTATGTAAATCAACAAATACATCTTTCAAAACAAACACGTTGAGAGTGAAAATGAGAAAATATTATTCATCACAAAGTATGTTTTAAATCACAATAATAAACTATGGAGAAATGTGGTATCCACTAATGTACATGCATAGAAAAACCATTATTATCAACGTAATATGTAATATATGAGTTTAAGGTGAGCATATTGTTAAAAAAAAATAGCTCTTCAGCCCAATGAATACATGTACTCTATATGTAGCCTGCTGCTTACCAAAAATTAAATACATGGAATGCACATAAGCGATGACTTTCCAAATTCAAAAGCCCATAAACTTATTTAGACAATTTACAATGCATGCCTCCAAAAATGAATTAAAACTAAATTAATTTGTAAATTTCACATCTTCTAAAACTTGAATAAAAAGACTTAAGTTCTGCTAGTTTATTACAGAGAACTCATTTCAGATTTGAGCTTGAATTTATAATATTTATTTTAAAATGGAATAAGAAATTATAAAGCCACAAGAATAACTTTGATGAAGATGTATGAAGATCATTTTCCTCATTTTACCAATACGTAATTCTAACTCTATAGGATATTGTGGGTGTAAAGGCTCCCAAATTCACCATCACCCATCACAGTCTTTAAAACCGCCCCATGAAACCTTCTACAGTTAAACTGAACAATTTTTAAACTATAAAGGCATGCCTTTAATGTGGCTTTCCACGAGGCTTTAGCAGTCAGTGGATTCTTAAAGATGAATAAATCTTTTATTATTTCTCCTTTTCCAGGAAGTGGCTAATTGCTTTGTATCAGCAACACAGTTTAATGGGGGAAGAAATATGTCTCCTATCTTCTCAGATAGCTTTGTCTGACTTCTCCTTGACCACATGATCTGCTTCATCAGCTGTGAAACACACTCCAGCTTTTTTCATCCTAAAGTCCTTCTGACACTGTTTCCCCTCCCTCCCCTCTCTGCTCACCTTCATAACTACAGTCTTCTTATTTTTCCAGGAATTCTACAACATCTTACTCTCACTGGGTATGGTGGTGTGGTTTCCTCTTCCTGTATAATATCACAGTTCCTTTGGGCACAACTCTTAATCCTCTATTCCTTAGTAACCCAAGAAGTACACCTTGAACATCGATGCTGCACTCATCACCCTTCTAGGGTGACATCAATGAGTATTTCAGACATCAACTCTTTTTCATAGAGATAAGGCATTACTCATTGTGTGATTTTATCCTCACCCAGGCCTCAAATACCATTGGCCTGTTAATGTTATCATCATAATGTATATTTCCAAGCTATGGACTGTCTTCTCATCTTTATACACACACATAGAACTACTACTTGATATTTCAAACTTAATGGATACCAAACTGAAAAGAAACTCAAAAGTCATCAATATCTACTGAATTGAATCTATTACACATGTAAGCTTAACCTAAATACACATTGTGTCCAGGATTTATTCATGGCTTTCTTTTTCTACTGCCATCATTATTTTTTCAAGCATTCCTGTTTATCCATCTCTTTCTTTTACCCATATGAGCAAGATTAATCTGTCTATAATGCCTATCTATTCATAACACCCCCCTGTTTCAAATGACTTCTTCCTGTTTTCAGGATCTCTTTTAAAAGTGTTTATGTAGTTTTCAGAAGACCTGGGATTATCTGGGTCACAGGTCCCTCTCTATCCTTATCTTTGTTCACACGGTTCCAGGTTCTCTTCAGTAATGTTTTTTCAGTTCCTAAAGCAGATCAATTTATTTTTTCTTTTAGAGATTTCTTCTATATATGACACCTTCCCCAGAAGGCTCATTTCCTGTGGGTTTCTTCAGGAAAGGTATTTTCTAAGGGAACGCTTCCCTTGCCCCTACCTAACCCCTACCCTACCATCACAAGTTAGGTATAATTGCCAACCCCCTCATGGCAGCATATGGCACCAGCCTGTCTCTTAGTTGTAATTGTTTAGTGGTCATTCTAACGCTAATTTTACGTTTATCTTCCCTACTAGATTGTAAAGTCTTTGAGGGCAGGGGCCAGTTTTCTACTTTTCACAGGTCATTCCTTTATACTCATTTCAGTCCTTGTCACAGAGCGAAACCCCAATAAATATCTGGAACAAATGAATGAATTTTACCATTGAAGAACCAGAAGTAACTCGCTTGGCTATGAGGAAATGCATATTGAGAGAAATTAAGTGACAACAGCAAAGCTGAAACTATAAACCCTAATTCTCTCCATTTTCCTTCTAGGTACTGCCTGCCCACAATGTGATTATGAAATTGGAATAAAATATGTTTTTATAGTAAATGTATCATAATATATCTTAGATATTTTTGTGCCTATATATGTATGTTTGTGTGTGTATAGATGTGTGTATATATACAAACACACATACATATATATGTATATATATGTGTGTATATATATATATATATATATATATTCTTATTTATTTACCCTATTGTCCATACCTATTTTTGTTTTTTATTAACAATATTTTTTTAATAAAATAGTAAGGACTCTGGAAGTATAATATAAACAAACCTGTCTAAAATTGATTATTTGTTTTACAGTTTGTGTTTTACTTATAAACTGTTATTAAAATGTCACCTTCTAACTTCATACAATATTAATTTTTATCTTTATAAAAACAATTATTTCCTCCAAACACATGAGCTAAATTAAAGATTTAGGAAAATGGGAATACACAGTTGCAAGCCACCTTTGAAGATTCTGACTCATTCAGAATCATATTTATATTATGTTGCTGATATTTGCATAGAGGATAGTTATTACAAACATAAAACATTATAATTGTAGAGTTATTGATGTATCAAACTCACAGAGACAATGAACTTGATAGCATATTCAACCATTCTTCTTGGGTCTATCATCTTATAAGGGTATTGGATTTGTCATATGACTAAGTAGCTGACCTTGAACAGATCCCTTAACCTTCCAAATTTATATTTGTAAAATGAGTATAAGCCTTCCTTGTTCAATACAGATTCAGAGATATATGAATGAGATAATGGGATAATAAATGCAAAAGTGATTTGTAAATTTAAAAAAAAACATTATAACATGATATCAAAATTAGTTCTAGATGCTCCCAACTTCCTACTTTCAAATTATACTTGGAGGCACTTATTAATTAATGTTACCAATACAAAGCCAAAATATAAATTATTTTTAAAACATATAAGCAACAGTAATTAATTTATAACAGAAAGATTAACTGTATAAAGATGCTTTCAATTAAAAACAGATGTGCGATATCACAAAATCTTAATAATGAGATTAATATCCATTTGAAGTTACAAAAGAGTTAAAGAGCATGACTGAACTGACAAACTTTATTTTTTCCCAGTCTCAAAAATGTTATGTACCAATACTGATACTCTAATATGACTTCAATAAGCCATGCTTATGAATATGCTCCTTTCAGCTCTACATATATACATATGAAGAATATATGTATGTTACGTATATTTCTACATATTTGCATAAAATTTACCTGTAAATATTATAGATATATTTAAAGGATTGATAAATGTTAAAATATAACCCATGTGACAACGCAAATAAGACTACAAATCAGGACAAATTCTTGCATCTTTACCTCTATAGCATGTATCTGAAAAAAAAATGTTAATATCCTTCCTGTGGACTTTGATAGTATTGCTAGCATATAATCACGGAAGCACTGTTACTTAATAAAGGCAGAATCCACCAGGGTGCTGTGAATACCAATATAGCATGTACAAGGTTGTGAGCTTCCTTGAAACTCTAGTTATAGTTTTTTTCTGGGGCTACCTCTGTGGCTGTTTCTGCCTTACTATGTGATTCTATCTTTCTAAATTCAACTTGTTTGATCCGTTATGGATGGTGTCATCATCTTTGACTGCATTTTCCCAAAAGTGAAGGACCAGCCTTCACGTGTTTGGTAGAGATGTTGTCTTCTTTACAAAAGATTTTCTGGTCTCAAAAGAACTCTTTCATGTTGATTTTTGACACTTCACTCTTACCTTCCATCCTGTCCCTCTGTTCGTTCTCTCCTCACTACTTCAACCACTGAAATTGTCATGGTGTATTTACAAGTTAATAATAACCCCATGGCAAGAATGATTTAGGAAATCTTGAGTAAGATATGTCACAATAATCATGATTGGAACTCAGAATTTACACTTCCTTCTATAAAATTATAGAAGAAATATATATAAAAATATCTTTATATATATACAAAGATATATAAAATTTTCCTTAATTGAATATTAAGGAAAAATCCACAGGAGTTGCAAAAAGTTGGTATCCTATTTGTTTTCATCCTAAGAAAGCATAGAGTTTTGCTTACCTTTAATAATGTTGGGCTTTGGTGGCATGCTGAACTCATAGACTGTCGGTTCTGAATATCCCAATCTGTTGGCGGCTGTAATTTGAACTTCATACCCCATTGTCCACTGTAGATGCTCCAAAATAATGTGGTCTTTATTTCCCTGAACCTTTTTCTCTAGCCATTGATCTTCTTTATCTTTCTGTAGAGGCAACACAAATATATTTTGTAAATACCCATACACTAAAGTTGTGGTTTTTAAAAAATTTAATTTATCTTCAGGTGGAACAAATAGTTTTATTAATAACAAAAAAGATATTTTACCATTGACAGGGATAAATAAAGTTGCTTTATCAATGAAATCATTTCTAAGAATTTTCTATAAAAAGTGTAATGTTTTTATTTTAGCCAAAGGGTGATGATTTCATAATTAAGTCTTGACAATTCAGTGGTTGATAATTCATCTTTGTTGATTTCATTTTTATTTCACAGACATCAGTTTGCTGTTTAGCCACTTTTTGACTGTTAATAGTCATATAAACAGAAAACATTCAACATGATTTATAGAAAAAGCCTAGTATATCCATTAAATTAATTGCCAGAGACTATTGTTTAAAATTTGAGGTGTGTGTTGGGGGACATAAAATGTAGCCTGGATATTTTTTATATATGTAATTTACCACTAGTATTTTTATTATTCTGGTGTTTTAGACTCATAGTATAACAACATATAAGAAAAATTATTACCTGTTAAAAATGTTACTAGCATCAGAAAAAAAATGTTATGCTCCCCTTGAACATTCTATGCTTAAATCCTGATTCTTTTTCTAAAATAAATGCTTTAAATAATATATTTCAATTACCCTTTATTTGAAATATATACTATGATTATAATTAACACAGAAAGAGTTCATATATATATGTAATTTAATGAATTATACATAAAGATTATATATATGTAAAGAGTATATATATATGTATATGTATATGTATATATATATAATTTAATGAATTAAACAATTTTAAACAATGTTAACATTTGGTGTGCCATGTTAACCATTTAAACACTGGCAAGTTCCTTAACTTCTTTGCTTTATTTCTCTCATCTCTATTACAGAATAATAGTAATCAGCTGCCTTTGTCAGCTTTCATATGGGAGCAGTGAGGAAAATCAAGTACTTTGGATAGTACAGGGCCTTAGGGATCATAAGCACTTAACTAATGACAGCTATTATTAAGGAGAACCTATTTTCATAATAACTGTGTGAAAATAAAATAATATTTTTCTACAATGATGTCTTTAATAAATCATTACTGCAATTGTAAACTTGAATTTCCCAGAGACATGATTGTAAGTAAATTAGAGCCTGGCCATATTAATAGATAGGTAGATAGATAGATAGATGATAGATAGATAGATAGATAGATAGATGGTACATAAATGACATGTAGAAAATATTATATCTTTTTAACCTCACAGACAAGCCCAGTATTACTTTATGTTGGGCCAATATTTTACAATGTGTCTTTAACAATAAAGCATAACAATGTTTCCCGCATTTATGATGAAAAATGAGGATTTATGCTCCAAAATCAAGTTAAATGCATGACTGCATTAAACTGATGGACTACAAACATGAATTATCCATTCAAATGAGACAAGAAGACATTATTATTTTGATGCCATACAATGATTCTATTTTCCTACTTAATTATTTTTGGTTACATAGAAGTTTTTTTTATTTTTTTTATTTTGCACCACCTATTACAAAGCCTATTTTGATATCTCTTCTAAAACTAAAGATACTAACATCCCTAATGAAGCCATGGGTTTCAGGAAAGCACCTAAAAGTTTAGGATAAACAAGAAGCATTACCTTTGCTTTTGAAACTTATCAATGGATTAAGTTTATATATTGTTTTCCAGTACTATTTAAGGTATTATGAGACGTACTGAAAAGGCATTGGAAAACCGAATAGTTTGGGCCAGGATATTTGTAAACTGGAAGTCACTAAATGACCAGTAAGGCTAAGAAAAGAAGTAAGGTGTGTGCTTTTGAAATGCTTTGGACAGCTGTACCAAATAGCCATGATTTTCCCAACACCTTTCAATTCATTCATCAATTGTTCATTCAGCCTTTATTGGGGAGTGGGGCTATACTAGAACTATGAACACAATAGTGAAAAAGACATATACAATACCCTCACCTTGGAGTTTACAAGCCAGTCCAAAATAAAGACATGAGCTCTTTGAAAGACCAAGGATGCTCTGGGAGCATTAAAGAGGGAAATTCAATAGAGTACAGGGACTAGGAATGTCTCCTCTGGGGAAGTGATGTCACCCTCAATGGAAATAACAAACTCCAGTGCCATTTTTCATTTGTCCTAACCTACTTAATAAAAAGAAGTGATCTTCTTTCACAGAAGTATAGATGCAAAAATAAACACAATGACTGAAAATCTCAGAAAGATGCACAACCACTGAGAGATATAAAAATGTACACTATAGGTTCATTATTTTCAGTAAATGTAAAAACACTGTAAGTATTGACCAAAAACCTAAAGCTAAAAACATTTATTCAAAAATAATTTTAGATGATATTATACATATATGTGCATATACATATACATCCATACATAGACACAATAAAATCTATATAACATAAAAATCTGATTATTCTACACTGTATATAGGAAGGAGGGGGTGAGAAGCAGGTGAACTGAAAGGTTAGATAAAGACAAGAGGTATACAAAGGAGTAGAGAGTTTGCCCTATAGCCTTCATTTTATTCCAATAAATTCCATAAATTCTATGTAACTATTTTTATTTTCATCTTGGTGAGAATGAATATTTTTGTGAAGATTCAGAATCAAGTTTTGCTTTGAATCTTAGTGGAGATGTGGATTACCCAGGATAAAATTTATTCTTCAGAGGGATGGATAGACTTCATGTCCTTCACGTAATCCTCAAAAAGCCTATTTCTGGGAATTGAGAATTTGAAGTGAAACTTCCTGACAAGCACAAGACATGCAGATAGTCTCTTTTGAATTACCCATCATTTAATTCTTAATTGTTGAAGCCCTTAGCATGATAAATTAAAAGCCCCTCCATCACTTTAGATAGTTGGACTGATGGCATAAGGAACCAAAGGGAGTTCTAATATTTCCCCCAATTTAAGTCAGTTTCATTTTCCATTCAACATTAGACAAGGAGGCTTTTTAATCCCCTAATTGCTATTCCCAGGGAATAGGAAAAAAATTAAAGTGGGTGTTACCAAATACTCCCCTAGGTATCAAAATCTCAATTATCCATTTGTGGAGTGCCTAATTTACAGAATTTAAATGCCTAGGGAATAATTTAGGATAATCTAGTTGCAAAATGTTCCCCTAGGTAACTTAATGAGATGATTTGCTGAATAGGGCTATTATTAATAAGCCAATTAAATGTTGAAGGGCAGCTACTGAAAGAAAAATGGTCATTTTGTTTTGATAGAGCTTCTCTTAAGCAATCTTTTTTTTTTCTTTTTTTTCAGAAAATAGATAGGGCCAAATGACAGTTAAGAGCTTTCTTTAATAGTTATTTTAAAATCGGGGCGCCTGGGTGGCTCAGTCGGTTGAGTGTCCGACTTTAGCTCAGGTCACGATCTCTCGGTCCGTGAGTTCTAGCCCCGTGTCGGGCTCTGGGCTGATGGCCCAGAGCCTGGAGCCTGCTTCCGATTCTGTCTCTCTCTCTCTCTCTGCTCCTCCCCCGTACATGCTCTGTCTCTCTCTGTCTCAAAAATAAATAAACGTTAAAAAAAAATTAAAATCGTAATATCAGCATACAGGAAATATTTGCCATCACTGTATGGAGAGGAGAACTGAGAAGAGATAAAAGAGGGTTTTTGTTTGTTTGTTTGTTTGTTTGTTTTGTACAGGACTCCTGACTGCTTTTATTTATAACAAGAAGTAATTCACTCATCCTTTTTGAAGTCTCAGGAAATATATGGGCAACATCATCTTAAATGAAAACTAAATAAATATAATAACAGAGGACAATAGAGGAGGTGAGCTTATACTAACTAGATTGATTTTAAGGTTCTTGTGACTCCCATGTGTTATGCTTTAAGATTTTCTGTTTGCATATAAGGTAGTTTCTGGTTCCTGGATTTCCTGGTAGCAATGATTCAGCTATTAAATACTTATATGACTTTACAAAGGGCCCCAGAATTCTCTACGGTTCTGTTCATTACTCTGAATATGAGAGAAGTGATTTAGCAATCATACACACACACACACACACACACACACACACACACACACACTCATGCATGCACACATACACCCCAATGTGATTTGAAAAGATACAAAATTTGGAGAGTTTTAGTAAAGTTTCAAATTCTACTTTCTTTCCTTTTAATTGAAGTATAATAGGCTCAGATTGTAATTTCTCGGAGTGCCTGGGTGGCTCAGTGGGTTAAGTGACCTACTTCGGCTGAGGTCATGATCTCGCGGTTCATGAGTTAAGCCCCACATTGGGCTCTGTGCTGACAGCTTGGAGCCTGATTTGGATTCTGTGTCTCCTTCTCTCTCTGCCCACCCCCAACCCACTCACTCTCTGCCTCTGTGTCTCTCTCAAAAATAAATATTTTAAAAATTCCAATTTTTCTTTTCTATTATCCTAACTGATTCAAATTGCCTTTGTTTCATGTCTTAAAGCTTGATAAAATTTTGTAAACTGGACCCTACTACTTAATCTATTGCTAGTCTCCATGACCCACGTGTTTCTTTGGGGAAAACTAAAATCTGATTTTCTTATTCATCACCTTCTGTGTTCTCATAACCCATAAAAATTCACCCAGTGCAAGTTTTTTTTTCCTCTTGCATCCATTGTTTCTCATATTTATTAATCTAGTTATACAATTACTTAAAATTGTTCAACAGAGTCTAATTTACTCATTGATTCATTGATGCATTTATTCATTCAGGTAACAAGTAGTCTTTTTGAAGTTATCAATATGAGGATGAATAAAACCCATCCTCTTCACTAGCAGCAAAGAAAAATTATCAAAAAGCTTAGGACTCTTTAATGCCCATAGTTATTATTTGAAAATATTTCAAACTTATACTGATGGTTCTAAATAAATTTCAGAGTACTCACCTAAACATAAGTTAATCATAAATTCTTAATATTATTGATAATCAGAAAATAAGTTATCTCAACAACAAGAATTCAATTTTACATTTTTTTTTATTTTAAGACCTTTTTCAAAATTATCTTTTCCTGTCTATGGCCATTGAGATACAACCTTCCAGACTCCAAATAGCTTAAGAAGGTCAATTAAGACTCAGAAACATATGCTAGGGCACTGTTGCTAGTCCCTAAAGTAACTTCTTCACAATTGATTTTAAGCAACCAATTTTCTTTAGCCCTTCTTAGCTCAGGCAATTTATTTAATGTGAACACTAAGTGATAGTTATGATCCCATAGCTATCATCAAATTAGGAAGAAAACAGTGAAAAACTCATGGAAGCATGTAAAAAACTATTTATTAAATTATATGGAGTTACATTGACTCTACAAAATAGATGTAAAATATTCTGTACATAAGGTAACTTCTTTCATTTTTCCAAACACATTATGAGATTAATAAGCTTGTCTTTATTCTCCAAATACATGGTTTAATCCTACTCACTTACTGTTAAAGACATTAACTTTCCCAAAGAATCCACAGAGACATATAATTCTGCTTTTACCACTCTAGTTCTGTTCTAATAAATTCTGTCTTCTTAATGAGTAACTGAACAAAGCCATGTGCTCTATCCACTATAGGATAACATAGAATAGTATGTGTTTCCTCATCTACATTAAGTTACACATTCTCTACATTAGGATATGACTTGTCTTGTCCTCATCCCCATGAAATGCAGCTTCAATAATTATATTCAGTGTTTGCCAGAAATCAACACTCGATCTTGTTGTTTCTAGATTATAAAACATCTAGTCCCATGCACATGGGGAGTTGAAAGATAATGTCTAACAAGCAGTCAAGTGAAAAATCCTTATGATGTTGCTTACTTTCCAAATTCCACTATTTGGTTTCCATAGAGGTTATCCAATTAAAGCATGCACTGCATATGGATATATAATTTTTCAAGTTATTCAACTGCAGTTTAGTCCACTGTGGAATGCATGGAGTTTGACAAACAAATAGATGAAGTGGCTTGGAATCATACAAAGAGAATAGATGATTAAAAACCTTTCTGAAATCGTTACTATTTCAATACAAGTGCAAATACCAAGGCAAATACTGCTACAAATATCTAGCCACCAAATCTTGAACATGCAAGTTTTTAAATGTGAAGAAGTAATCTGTTGAGAAAGAAAGTGTGGAGAAAACTATTCCTTCCTAAAATCTGCTATTGTTTGGCTATAGTAACATAGTCTACATTGAATTATGGAATTTCCTACTGGACCTGTAAAGCTTGAAGTTTATAAGATGGAGAAGGAAGAAGAGGAAGAAAAAAAAAAGTAGAAATATGGAAGCTATTTCAATGTGTGGGAGTAGAAAGCATAACCATAAATAATATGGAAAAGGGAAAGTAGATCAGAATGGCTGTACTTTGGAGGCACAGAGTTGGCTAACTGAAGTGAGATGGGACAGTGTCTGAGGGGATGATATAATCTCCATAGGCAGATTCTAATTCAACCCTTAGTGCCGCAGAACTCTTCAGATTATAAAGTCTTATGTTCTGATATCTGTTCCCCATGCCCATCAAGTTACCCACATTCTGTAAGGTTCAGTTTGCCCATTAAAAAGTAATAAAAAGTATTACTTTATTTTTTGGTGCAGTCGACACACAATGTTATATGCATCTCAGGCGTTCAATCAACATAGTGATTCAACAAGTTTATACATTATGCTATGCTCACTGCGGGTATAGCTACCATCTTCCCAGACACATCACATCTCTATTACAATATCATTGACTATTCCTTATAGTGTGTCTTTTAGACCAGTGACTTATTTCCATAACTGTATTTCCCACTTCCCTTCACTTTATTAGTGGTGCATATATATATATATACATACACACACACATATATATATATTATTTATAAATAAACAAATAAATAAAAATAGATATTCAAGTGTGAGAAATGCCATCCTTGAAACACAAAGGGATGGAGAGGAATTACTTTTATAAATCTTGCCATAGGAGCCTAAAATTCTGTTGCTCAAACAGTGTTCCATCCTAAAGCACTAGTAAGTCTGATAACACAGTCATTGATTATCAGTCAATGGTAGCTATGTTTTAATTATGCAACCAATTATTTTCATTATGATATTTAAAAACAAACCCTCTAGCACTTTTTCAAAGTTAGAAAGGGCTGGGGATTGGAAAGAGGAGGGGTATGGCAAGACAGAAGTAAGATGGAATTGAGAAGGGACTGAAACCTTCTTTTCCTGGTAGGGTAAAAAATGATATTTAGTAAATAGCAGAAACAGGGCTTTGCTACTATTAGTTTTGGAGGGGGAGAGAAGGGAAAAAGAATTGAAGGTACAAATTTATTGAAACTCAAATTTGTCTGTGTTCCAATTTTAACCTGCTCTAGGCAACATTTTTGGTTTCAATAATGATCGGGGACACAACTGGCAATATAAAGAGTGGGGGCAAGGATACTAAACATTCTGTAATGAGAGGTAGATATCTGGATGGCCCACTATTCTACTACTCAAAATGCCAATACTGTGTCTTTTGAGATACACAGGAGTCATGACAGGTAACCATTTTTATGAACTGAATTGTGTTCCCCCCCACAAATTTATATGTTAAATCCCTAACCTCCAACGTGACTTTGTTAGGAGATGTAGCTTTAAACGTTTTTTTAACGGTTATTCATTTTTAGGAGACAGAGAGAGACAGAGTGTGAGTGGGGGAGGGGCACAGAGAGAGTGAGATGCGGAATCTGAAGCAGGCTCCAGACTCTGAGCTGTCAGAACAGAGCCCGACATGGGGCTCGAACTTGTGGACTGTGAGATGATGACCTGAGCCAAACCGACTTGGATTGGACACTTAACCAACTTAGACACTTAACCGACTGAGCCACCCAGGCGCCCCTCCAATATCCAACTCTTCAGAAAGGATATGTCAAACTTCACCTTTAGGTAAAAATTACATTTATAGAAAATATGTTAGACATATTTTTATAACTCCTTATTACATCTCAATGTTCACCATGGAATTTTATTGGGATTACCTACAAATTCTTATTATCCACCTGTATTTTATGCCATAAATTCTTCAGGGTCCAATTGCGGGCCACAATCTGCATGTGAGGTCTATTCTCCCAGTCCAATTAATGAATTCTGTTCAGGTCTATGACCCATAGAGACTCTTTCACTTCCAAAGAGTTTCCAGATGGTCAAATAAGAATGGCCATGAAACCTGGCTTGAGTAGCATGAAACAATCAAATTCATAGAAAGACTGGTGAGCCATTCAGAGCTATTTTAGGGTAGAGGCATGAAGCCTTCATAGACAATTAGCCACAAAACACCCACAGCTGCTCATCATTCCCAGCATGAAACCTGCAACAAAGAGGGGTCCTGGCTATTAATCTTAAATTTAAAGGCTGATGTCTAAAATTAATTACTTAAATATGTTTTTCAAAATCAAACTCCTTTTTTACCTAACCTTTAAAACTTAGATATTTGAATTAAAAAGACTATTAAATTTAGAAAATTATGAATTTGTGGGAAAATAGTTAAGATTCATCAATATACTATTAAGGAGCAATTACTTAAAAGACTATAATAAGCTAGGGAAGTATTAAAATAAGCGTCCAGTAAACATAAACATAAAATTGACACTGCATTATAGGGATCATCATAAATGTTAATAAATAAACTTCACAAAATTTAATTTAAAATTGTATTTCACTTTTTTTAATTTTTTTTTTAACGTTTATTTATTTTTGAGACAGAGAGAGACAGAGCATGAACGGGGAAGGGGCAGAGAGAGAGGGAGACACAGAATCGGAAGCAGGCTCAAGGCTCTGAGCCATCAGCCCAGAGCCCGATGCGGGGCTCGAACTCACAGACCGCGACCTGAGCTGAAGTCGGACACTTAACCGACTGAGCCACCCAGGCGCCCCTGTTTCACTTTTAACAATTTCCACAGCAGACACAAATAATGAATGGTACTTATGGCAAAGTTGTTAAGAGAAGTCACTTTTAGTGGCCTTTGGTATAATTTTCAGCCAAAGGCAAAGTCCATTGGGCTACTTTCTTTACCATTCTGCAACCAGAAGATGTTCTTTATCTCCTACACATCTAAGTCCCGTGACAGGTCTTAGCTGTCCAAGATCCCATTTTAGCTAGTGTTATTAAACTTGAAAAAAAAAAACAACAACAAACCTTCTTCCTCAAGCTCAATGTGGCCATACTTTGTTAAATGTTGATTATGGTTAATTTGTTTTTTGATGAAATGATTAATACCAAACAATTAAGGTATTATTTAAGGCATTAATAACTTAATTAATAAAAATAAAGAAAATAAAGTAAGTATTTTGATACAATAGCTAAATAATTACCTACAATAACTAAAATTCAGAACAGGGGCTTAGCTTGAAGTTACTAATATCAAGCAGAATGGAAAATGAAAATATCCTGCTAAACTTGTCAGAAAAACAAGAGGAAAATGTTACTTCATTTCTCAAATGTTGCAAAGTTTAAAAATCACAAGATTTATACCATGTCATTATTCTGATGATCAATGATGTGATTTTACCCAACAAAAGGCAAGTATTTCACAATTTACAATGATGAATTTCAGCAATGGACAATTAGCAGTCGAATTCCTATGAGAACTGTTTATTATTGTTACTTAATGTGCATTCTCGCCCAATATGTCAATGAATCGAATGCAAATTTAATGCAATTTGAAAACATCTTACAAACGATAATAAAAAAGGTACTTACACTTCTATATTTTACAATGTATTCCAAAATAGGAGCCCCTCCATCATCTTGTTTGGTGATACTGAGTTTAAAGCTCTTCCCACTGCTTGGCTGCCCATGTATGGATGGAGGACTTGGTTCACCTAAATAAACAATACAACATACTTGATTTTTACACACATCTCAGAAACCTAGATAAACTGAATTTCAATAAAGAGAACACTGTCATGTAAAAAAAAATGATTTTAACCTGAATTTACCATTTTTCATTTGCCCTTTGTTGTAATAAAACCCTGATCCTTTCTCCCCACCCAAGAAACAGCAATATTCACAAATCTAGAAGTGACATGACAAAATCGTGATACCTGAGAACCAAAATATTATTTATATTGATGTGCAAATGTTCTGAGAATAGTATTGCATTATACAAGCATAAGCTTTATTTCTCATGTTCTTAACAGTGCACAATACTATTAATGTAATTTTGGCAACTATTTTGTATATATGTATTACTATAAACATATGAAGTTATCAAACTATATAGGATATATACTTACCAGGAAAGATAATAGTTTAGCTATTATTTATCTGCTTTAGTGAGTATTTTTTTAACGAGATACAGATTTGAATACAGAAATTTTATAGTATCCAATCAATAGACACGTGTTCCATCCAATATACATATTTTTTCTTCTGACTTCACGAATATACTCGCCTTTCATGTTTCTTCCCATGGAGGTGGTCTTATAACAAAGATGCTTGTATGTTTAATATGAACGGGATCTACTGAAATATAAAAGTTTTCTATACGAAGGATGCCATCACTGCTTGGCAATTTGGAATGGGAACTCCTTGCTACGTGTCACTTCTGCGATGTCCTTTGGCAACACTGGCATCCTCTTCCCCTATTTTTCCAATTCCTTATAGATATGAATATAGTAATACGGAGGAACCTTCACGGGGTATGCTTTCGTTTTCAAGGTTACACAGACTTGTAGTATTGGTCTAGTCAGAGGAATGTCAAGACAAACTAAGCAGAATACAGTGAAGATGATTTAATGCCTCCAAACATGGAGAATCTAGTTTTATTCTCAGCAGCTTATCTTTTTTTGATATGGTGTTTATAACCTTATGTAGTAAGTAGTTCATTTGAGAAAAGTCATATCGTTAAGGAAATATGCCAGTTGGGTGTGCTGACATGCAAGTAAATGATAAATAAATAAGTAAATGATAAAATAGTCTTTACTAGGGTCATATAGAAACAAAGCAAATAGATGAATTTTGGAGTGATTCTTCATTAAAATAAATTAAATTAGTGTGCATATATTAAGACATGACATGATTTCTATTCAATGTATTTTCAATAAAGGAATTAAAATGTCTGTAAAAAGCAGTACAATAATTTCTTTAAAAGACTTAATAAGAGATTATGGGAAAACCTAAATATTATAAAATGGATTTTATACTTGGTTGGTTTAGTATAATTTCTAAATTGAATTTTAGAACATTTGTGTTGTACAGTATAAATTTAATAATATTGTAATCATATTATTTTAACAACAGCATTTTGAGATAATAATTATATAGCAGAAACTGCATTTTCAGTTAACATATGTATTTAAAATATTTATGTCTATATATAACCTTTACAATATACTAAATTTGTGGGGCGCCTGGGTAGCTCAGTCGATTAAGGATCTGACTTGGGCTCAGGTCATGATCTCGTAATTCCTGATTTCAAGCTCCATGATGGGCTCTGTGCTGACAGTTCAGAGCCTGGAGCCTGCTTCTGATTCTGTGTCTCCCTCTCTCTCTGCCCCTGCTGTTCTCGCTCTCTCTCTCTCTCTCTCTCTCTCTCTCAAAAATAATAAATAAACATTTAAAAAATTAAAAAAAAAAACCCCAATATACTAAATTTGTGATTCCATTACAGTTGCTACTTCCTTTGAAAGGAAAATAAAGTTCAGAACAAACGTAATGTCTGTCAGAAAGGAATTGATTAAAATAATGGTTTCTATCAGCAATTACAGTGGAATGTTTATGCAAAAGTAATAATATAAATAACAATCAAGAAGTAATAATGGATAATTATGACACATTAAGTACTTTGTATATAATATCATCTTTTTTATTTTTTATTTTTATTTTTTTAATTTTTGAAAGAGAGAGAGGCAGAGTGCGAATGGGGAAGGGGGAGGAGCAAAGAGAGAGGGAGACACAGAATCCGAAGCAGGCTTCAGGCTTTGCACAGAATCTATGCAAGGCTCGAACTCACAAGCTGTGAGATCACGACCTGAGCTGAAGTCGGTTGCCCAACTGACTGAGCCACCCAGGTGCCCCGCATATATCATCTTATTTAAACTTCAAAAAAATCTTGAGAAGCAGATAAAATATATGGGTATTATCAAATAAAACTAAGACCTGACCCTTAAAGTCTCAACGTCTAGGACAGAGGTCTGCAAGTCAACAGCAGGACATTAAGAGATTAGAAGCATTGTAATTTTTAAAGAAGAGATAAAAAAAATAAAAAAGGGTAAAAGAGTAGAGTTTTATGGGTGAAACAACAAGGATGGTGTTCTATGAATGAAGGGTAGTGTGCCTAGTTAAAAGAGGAGAAAACATTGGAGAGGTTAGCCAAGGTCTCACTGGTCGTGCCTTGTTTGGGGATTGATGTGCAGTGACCTGGAGAGAGGAATCAAGAGAGAATGCACAGTACTTTGGAAAGAGAAAACAGTATGACCAAACTCAAGTTCCATCTACTGATGCAGATGGCACTGTGGCCACAGAGGAAGGAGGTATGAGGAGGTCAGGCAGGCAGATGTGTGTGTGGACAGAAGGTGCAAAGGTGAAGGTTGGTGTTAAGGATTATAGGTAGAGAAGGGATAGATCTGTTTATATTTGTGTAAAGTCACCCCAGAATTATTTTGGTTTGAAAATATGATTGTGAGTCAAGATGTATCAGTAGTCATTCTGGGGAGAAAATAACGAGGGGCTGAAAAAAGACATAGGCATCAGACGTGGAGAAAAGAGAAGGCATCTGACAGATTTTATGAGAACCAAGAGTTGGTCACAAATAAGGGCAAGATAATTTATTGTGGCCAATTTGACTGTCCTAGTAGGTGTATATAACAAGCAGGGTGATACATGGATTTTATAACAGTGTTTGTTGAGTCACAGTCAAATTTTCTCACATTTTCAAATAATTTATTCAACATAAAGGAAACAGAAGTCTCTGCAAATTTACCTTAACTTTGTATAATTCAACTGATTTACAACACCCCAAAACAGGATAATAGCAGGAACAAGGCTACAATAGCTAGTCTTCTGTAGTCACCATGGCAATGGACTTATTTAATGGTGCCTCTTTCTCACAGTTAGGGCCTATATAATTTATGGGATAAAGGCAATGGTCATGTCTCATCAAAAGAACAGAATATTGGACATGTTACATAGTCACTGTTTTTGCTTTCTCACAGACTATAGACTAAACCTTACAATCTAATTAATCAGACAGCAAATGAATAGGACACGTTGCTGATGGGGACAATTTCCCAAGAGTAGTTTCGCTGTATTTATTGTAGTACACCTTTTCTTTTTTGCCTTGTTCCAGAGCAAAGTTATTTTTATAAATCCTAGATGCCACCATTTTCAGAAACCACTTCAACAAAGACATAATGCACTCCCCCAGAGTACTGAAACACCTCCATGAATTTTAAAATCCCTTAAATTTGCAAGTGAAGAGAAAGGCAACAGAGAGCAAAACAGAGATGATTACTTACGAACTGGTAATGTCTGGAAGATTTCTACTTTACTGTAGTCTCCTTGCCCTTTTCCATTTACTGCTGCAACCCTGACTTCATAAGTTGTATTTGGTTCCAGGTTGCTCAAAACAACCATTGCTAGAGGAGGAAAAAAAAAACAAACAATACAAATATATATGGATGTAAATATGTACATGTACATATATATATATATATGCTTATGCTTAATAATTTTTAGTAAGTAAATGAATAATTTCATTGTAAATCTTTCCAAAAAATACTTGAAAAAATAGGAAATACAAATAAGAAATGATTTGTGAATAGTCCCCTTCTTCACCTCTATTTGAGCTTCCCCTTATGATACTTACACTCGACAATATATTCAAGAAATAAGAATGATATAAATAAAACATCCTTACTCTGTGCATCCCAAATAATTTATCTACTTTAAATGGATTGTTTTTATGGAACTTTATGGAGATATGGAATTCAATAGACAGAACTCTGGCCTCCGGTATAAGGTGTTTCACTCATGTCTGAAGAGTGTCACAAAGCTGACTCTACCACCAAAGTAGATCATTTATTTGATAATCTCAAATCAAATTAAATTAGTTTTAATGCTGGTTTGAAGGTTGTCTCCTCCTGTATTTTTTTCTGAATTTCTTCTCAATGCTATACTTTATTAGACTTGGATTCAACATGACACCAAGAAGAGAGAATCTGAAAAAGTACAGGAATGTAAATGCTATCAGAAACATCTCCTGGGTCATGTCAACCTCTTCAATTTGCCAAAAAGAAAAAAAAAAAAACCGGGTACAATTGCGGTTTTCAAAATCTCATATTTTTACAAATTCCTCTGATGAAGACAACAAAATCCCATAGATGCCTCTATCCTTACTGCTTCCACTAATGAGTGCAAACATTTACTAGTGGAAGTGGCAAAGCCTTGATAAACAATCAAAAGGAAATTATGTCTGGCATACATAATAAATCAAGTGACCAATTCATAATAGAAGATATAATCGATCATAAAATAAAAGTTTCATAAAAGGATCATATTTGTAGAGATATTGCTTTATATGAACCATGACTGAAGATGGTATACATTCAATAAATTACCATATAACTTATTAGCATATTTTTGAAAACTAATTCCATTATAATACAGATTCTTTAGGTAATATTTTTTATTCTACATTATATGAATGTACATCATGAATCTGTTTTGATACTTCCTTTTGTTTCGTTATTTTCCCCAATATTCATTATCATGACATCTCTTTAGCTTTTTGATTATAATTATTGAAATCTTCATTGAATTATTTATTAAACTACAGAAAAGAAAAAAGTTTCTGAATGCACATTAAAGATTTTTTTTCTAAAATACAGAATTTAAAAAGTATAAAAAATTATATATATATTTTTTACATGTATCTGATATATATCAGACACCTATTAATGGAAAAAAAAATTCCAGATATCAACCAGACCTTATTTAATATAGTACAGATGTTCTAAAACCAGCAAAAGGATGTATTCCCAATCAGCAAAATTTACATTTGTATTTCTCAATTTCTCTACCTTGTAAAAAAACTGAACTTGTTTTTGAGAGTGCATTGCCTTGTCAAAGACTCAGATTATAATATTCGGTGTCAAAGTCAAGGGAGGCCTTGTGGGAAAACACTGATGGTCAGGGATATCCAACTAATTAGAAGTTACAAGATTAAATGGGAAAACCAAGACCAAGGTTTAAATCCAACTGTTGCTGACAAAGTAACAATCTGTGAGCTTTTCAGGAAACCCAAATCCAGTTGATTAGTGACCTGGAATCAAGGTGTATATAATATTAGTCCGAGGGGAAAAATAGTTGTAACTGAGAGATTAGTGGTTTAGGTCATTCAGACTATGGAGGGAATCAAATTAAAAGTTAGAAAGCCAAGATCCTGAGACAGTGGAAACCTACCGTCCTTGAGAGAAAGTTTCTGTTCAAGGTCAGTATAATAAGGAACTCAAGAGTTTAAAAGTTGTCACATCTTGTCAATTTTTCCAGTAAATAAATATAACCAATTTGAAACCAATGTGAACTAGGCTTACTGTTCTGCAGAGATTTTTAAAGCTTTATGAAAGTGTATTTGTTCCTCAGGGCTTGTAACAAAATGCTTAGGCCCTTGGGCAGTCAGTATTGTCATGGACCAGTCAGTGTTCAACGTGATATTAGGGAGGAGCCAGTGTTTGATTATCCTTTACTTTACCTTTATGGTGAACGACTTGGGGTAGCATGGGGACATGTAAGACGCATGCAGGTATTAGTCTGACTACAAAAACCTTTGCAAGAAGACACTATTGTGATGCATGCTTTAAAATCATGAAAAAAGTCATTTGTTTCTGAGCCTCATTCCACCAGACTGAGATTCCACCAATTCCTAGGGCTGAGTTAGTCTCCCAGCTTATAAAGGAAGACATTTTTAGTAGATGTCATAGAAACAAAAGTATAAAGATAAACTGAAAGAAGGTATAGATAAAATAATTTGTGACCTGTAAAATCATCATCACTATGCATCAGTGATCTATGCAAATAGGGATATTATATGGAGACTGTGAGGTAATGAAAATAATGGATATTCCAAAGTTGTTCATCTTTGACTCTGTGTTTAATGGCACAATAGTCTGTATTTAGTCTCAGAGATACTTACTTATAAATATTAATATTTACATAGGTATCTACATAGTATGCTACAAATGATATAGGAGAGATTGCTATAGACGTCTTTACTGCTGCAGACAACGTTGATATGTGCTATGCCTCTCCATATTTCTGCGATGTAAAGATGGAACCACTACCATCATTTTAAGATCACTGATAAACTGTAACTCAGCCGAGTAGGTGAGAACAATTAGTAATGTTTATGTTTGGTTGTTTGCCTTGACACAACTCAGCAAGAAAATCAACAGAATTTAAATCATACAATTTTAATTGTAAATAAAATTATCTGCAAATCAAAAGTGTGGAAATCAGACCGTTCCTTATTTTAGGTTAAAAGTAGATAACAATAGAGCTATTAAAGTATCAGAGCACATCACATGAAGGGAAAATCGAGGTTATTAGATTAAACAATGGAAACAACAACCCACCTCTCCCCCCAGAAAACCTCTACATTTTACTTGAATTATCTGAATATTTCTAGTCAAAGCTCTCTCTGGCCTGAACTGTCACCATTCTCCTCTGTTCACCATTTCACAGGGCATGTGAGGAGCTTTGAGTGTCCCTCTATCTCTACCAAAGGGGAAACTCATTTCTTTACATTATAATCAATTCAGAATCAAGTCTCCCAAGTTTCCTCACACTCTTCTGTTCTCCATGACAAGATTCTCCCCGGGGGGCCTGGGTGGCTCAATCTGTTGAGGTTGAGCATCAACTTCAGCTCAGGTCATGATCTCACAATTCCTAAGTTCAAGCCCTGCATTGGGCTTTCTGCTGTTAGCACAGAGCCCACTTTGAATCCTCCGCCCTCCTCTCTCTGCCCCTCGGCTGCTCAGGATTTCTCGCTCTCTTGCTCTGTCAATCTCTCTTTCTCTCTCTCTCTCTCTCCAAAATGAATAAACATTAAACAAAAACGATTCTCCCCTTTGCTGACTGAGTTTCACAGCAGAGCAGTTTGCAGAGGAGAGAAGCAAAGAGGTTAAATGATGGCTGCACGGTTATTACAAGGCTGGGCTATAACACTCAAAGGTAAAATGGATGGCGGGGCCTCCTAGAGGGCCTTCAAAAATTATAGGGGAGAGGCACGGAAGTCAACCTATGGAAGCAAGTTTTAGAAAGTTTATATACAAGAAGAAGTCAGTCTGTTTTTGAGTTATGACTGTAAGGGTTTCGGTACAATAACCCTCATTACGAGGAGTATTAACATTGTGTGAACATAAAGATTATTGTGTGAAATAGAAAGAACTCCATAAATTGGGACCAATTTAAAGAGAGGGAACGGAAGAAAGTCAGGGGAGGCAAAGCCCGTATCTGTAATTTGACTTGCCTTTCTTAAATGAGAGGATATATACATTAAATCATCCACAATTTCCTGGCATATTACCAAACACAGGGTTTCTGAGTAGCCAAGGTAGAGCATGAAAGCAAACTACCACTTGAAAAACGAAAGGCTGCATACTCTATAATAGAGTCATACCTCAAATTATGAAGTTAGTTAATGGAAGACTTTCTTTCCCCAAATGTGCCCATACAATAGAACAAAAGAACCACAGACTGAGGTGTGGGATGGGTTCTTTCCTTATAATTTGTTAGAAATTCAAACTTGAAAATTAGGTGAAAGTCGATCTAGATTACAAACCACTGAAAGTTCTCTAAGGACAAATGGCATAAATTAAGGTATTTTATAGTTATATTTAGTCAGCATGATTTGGAAATCATAATGTAATTCTTCTGAAAAGTATACACCACAATGAATTTTTCTTTGACATGGCAACAGGTATAGGTTCTATAAAGAATCTGGTTTGCCTCATTAATTTAATGTTGCTGCTTGACTTAAATATAATTGAGTTTCATAAATGACCATTTTGTCACCTGGGTATACATGCAAAAGTGCAGCAAATATTGAAGTGTGCAGAAATAATGACATTTAAACTGGCAAATGAAGGAAAACAGAAACTAACATTATTTTTGCAAGTATGGGAATGGCATTGCTAGAGAGAAAAATCTGAAGTTTCATTTTCCCTTTAAGAAGGGAATCAATCAGACTTTATTAAAGGAAGTTGAATAAAGTCAAGTCTTTGTTTGTTCAGGTTATGTATTCTTGTAAATCCCATCCCTACAGCTGTCAAGAGAACCAGAGGCTACAGACTATTTATGACCCTTGTGGCAAAATAAGTCACATATTTGCAAACTAATTAGGCTGAGCCAAGTTCTAAAGTGAGATTAAATGTAGCCATGCTCTCTTTGCTCTCTTAAACCTCAGGCCTCTCCACGGCTTTTCCAGCCGGTCAGTGTAAGCAGATAAGGACTCCCTGGGTCTGGAACTGCTGTATCACCCACTGGAAATGCAACTTATTCAGGCTGTCATGAACTGTGAAACATGTCAGACAGCTATGAGAAACCACAAAGCTTAGCTAGGATGGGACTGATGTTTCAA